ATAAAGAAAAAAAGTGAAAACCTGTACCTTCAAACTCGAACAAGTGCCTTGCACATGCTTGGCTGGTGTTTGGGATGGGGTAGGTGAGGAGTGAGAGGAAGCAAGGAYTGAGGTTTTGGTGGCAGCTGGTGAGCAACAGCCAGAGCTACCCCCCTACAGCAAGGAACTCACATTTTCTGCCATGTTCTCACTTCCAGCATTTTATTAATTAACTTCAAAAGTTTTTGCTCAGATTCACCTTGGAATYTGGATCTTGAAATTATCTTTAAATTAGAACGTAGCATTTATTAATAGCAGGGAATTCCAAGTAATCACATTGTCCTACTTTCTCCTCCTACATTTTATTGGAGTGAGATGCTGATTTTTGTAAACTGTACCTTTTCTACCCTAATCAATCTTGTTTTTCTTCTGTCCTTTGCCTGAAGACTTCTGGTGTTTAGAATTAACTTTGTTCTCAGTCCTTTTCCATTTTGTGAATGATTATWCACCTCATTAGAGGTAATTGTTTCCTTGTTCCTACAGCATCAGCCAAGCAAGCAGATCTCAGCTACATCTGAGGGATATGGGGAGCCTCCATCCCAGAAAAGTGCAGCAAAGATTTTGATAATTTAGTATTTCTCTCTRGCATGTTCATTGTTCTGTACCTATAACAAACATGCCTTAGATGTGTTTTACCTGCTTCACTAAGCTGTGGAAATCCTGSAAGCCTGGGTATTCTGAGTCAAGGAATAGCAGAATGAATGTTATAATGCTGTCACAAAGCATTRTTGATCCAGATTATTTTTTTAATCAAAGCTTTAACTTTTATTAGCTTTGTGTCAGGTTCTCTCTTGGGTTTTATTTGTAATTAAGAATAAATGCATTATTTTACTGATTTTACTGCAACTTTTTCAAACTTCAGAATTGCAGGAATGAATTCTGATCTATTATCTGGGACTCAGAAAAGACATTTAACTGGGTCTAATCATGGCAAAATACAGATTGTCATTAATTAAGTGTGTAGCAGGAATGAGAACAATTTACAGGAGTAGAAGAACTTTAAGTAGCAGCACACGGTGAATGAGATGCACAGCTTCCATTATCACCAGGGGCTGCATGGCTAATCCAGCAGCCTGAGCACTGGGGAAAATGTACCCTGGGATGTCAGGTGTTAAGGGGAAGAATGGGCCTCTCACGTTCTTTGCACTTACAAGCCGCTTGTAACCTTTTGACTCTCTCTCTCTTTCTCTTCTTGAGTTTTGTTTCCTGAAAGGAAAAGGGGGTGGGGGAACGCAGGGGAAGAAGGCTTAAAGAGTGGAAGATCTGTTTCAAAGTACTGTAGTGTATTTGCAAGCTTTTTTTTATTTTTTTTTAATGGAATGAGTTTTATTTCTTAAAGAAGCAGTTGCTTTTAATGTTGAGTGTTTAGAGCATGACTTAAGATATGAATGTCTGCTGAGCACGCTATCAACACTATAAACTTTAGAAGTGTTTTGCACATAGTTTGTTTATCTTTCTAACTAAAATGGATTTAATCTCATTTAAGAGCATAACAGAGGAGGAGAGCTTGTTCTGTGAATTAGTGTTGCAGGTATTGCTTTTCCTACTGACCAGTGCAGAAAAACAAGCCCTAAATAACAAGAAATCCCTTTTATTCTCAAAGGRTCTCTTAATGTAGCATGATCATATATAGATCACATTGAACTTGGGTGTACTCCAGGTCTGAAGATCTGCATATGCAAAGAAAAACTTTGTAAAATTCTTGCACATTTTGTCTCCTTGCTAGCTCTGAGTTAGTAAGTGTGAAAATACCTTGGTGCAAGGAGCCGAGCATTTACTTAGTGTGAAAAAAACATGTGACAAATAAGGGGGAACAAAAGGTGTCTAGTTAAGGTAGATTTCTCCAAATTTCATCACTTTTSAGGAAAAAGAGCAGAATGGGGAAAAATATATGAAAACTTATATTATCCTTCCTTGAAATAATCTATTCTGGGCTGATCCTTAYTAGAATGTAAAAGTGGAAACCATAAAGGTGGTGGTTACTTCCATTAATCCAAAGGAATCTTGCTCATAGCACAGCACCCTGAGAATGCTAAAGGAGTTTTATACATTTCTGGTTGCCATCTTTGGTTTGAGGACCTTGTTCCACTTCAAATTTTGTGTCTTTCTTTGTTAGAGGTAATTTTGAAGTGGCTCACKTTGCCTTTGCATGGCTGAAATGTGGCAGCAATGGAGTGGAGCCAATGGAGGGGTGATTTTACAGCCAGCAATCAGGAAAAGGAAGAGTCCYTAGCCAGGGGACTCAACAGTGCCAGGAGGAGCCATTATTCTATTATTATTTCCAGTGTGGAAGCATTGTTTTAAGTCACATGAAAAACATCCTTTAAATTTCTTTGTTATTTGTGTTGTAAATTCTCCATATCAACTTTACCAAAAGAAAGGTGTGAATGCATATCTAAGGGGGTTGCTTGGGATGCATCTTACTTTAGAAATTGTAGGTCAAAGGGAAACCTGMAATCAATGGCATTTCCTCTGATTTAGCCTGGAAGTTCACAGAGACTGGCCAAAGATGAAGTGACTTCTCCTTTTCCCAACACCTGCTGGGAGCAGCACTCTAGACAGCCTGTCTCCTCACAGGCACTGTTGTCCCCTTTTTTTGTACTTTTAGGGAGTCCAAACTTTTGTGGTTTATGGGCCCAACCCTGTAAGCTTTCCAGGAATCTTGCACTTAAAGGGCTAAAGTGGGGAGAAGGAAGTCTATATTGTTATCCATGCATATGACCTTGTTTTCATCTTCTGGAAATTACATTTATGTTGAAGGCTGTAACGGATTTAAATGAAGTTTCAGAAGATTTAATGCTGATAGTTTTCTTGGTTTCAGTCACTGAGAAGTTCAGTGACAGTAAATATTTTATATTCAAAACTGCTTTAGTTCCACTATGCAGAGCATGTGTGGAGAGCCAGTATTGAAGGGATTTGCATACTGAGGATTATTATCATCATCTGTTTTTTTAYTGGTAGAATTTGAGGAGGTGAAGGTCTTACAACTGCAAGGCAAGCACTATTTGACATAAATGCAGAAGTTGAAGCAATGTCTTCCAAATCATTTGGGCCATTTGAGACACGAATGGGAACAGAATTCAAATATCCAAAATGCCAGTCCAGTGTCTTARTCCTGAACCCATTTATTTTCATACAAAATTAAAGTTTCCATGATTATTATTTCTACTGCCAGGGCTTTCCAAGGATTTAAATGTGACCTAATTTATTAAATGCTGTCTTACGTGCAAGACAGAAGCAAAATCCCTACCCCAGGGCACTTASTCAGTGGCCCTGATCCTGCAATCTGATCTCTTGAATGAATGTCTGAACTAACATCAGCCCTACTCTCTGTTCTGAGAGTTTGGCTGGGGTTTTAATAGGGAAGGGACATGGAGGTTGCAGGTTGTCTACAGCACCCTCAATCAACTTCTCTACATTGCCACTRCTTTCCCACATGGTTACGTGTTTCCCTGAGTCCTCCATGAGCTTTTGTGTGGCTGTTGCTCAGTTACCTTCAGTAGGTGGTGAAGTTTGGGCTGAGCTGGTTTTTCTTCTGTGTATAAGCCTTGATCTGTGGCACTACTCAAAGATGCTTTGCAATGCACCTTGAGATTAAAGTGCATCGCCCCTGCAGTGCATTGATCTCGCCTGGCCCAGAAAGGGGTTGTCATAGATCTGCTTTTCAAATCAGGACTCCCTCATGGGTTTTTCCAAGGCATCATCTCCATGTCATTGGGTTGGCAGGATATGAAGCTGAGGGTCTTTTTGAAGTTTTCCTTCACACCAAGGGGTGTATGCTTGATGTATGGGAATCGTGGCAAGTTACACCCTCTCCTCCCTCTGTGTTCAGYGCAGGGTAACTTAATGCAGTGTTCAAATATTCTGGACCTTTTCTAAAAGTAAATKGTTTGATTCATTATGTTGGAGTATTAAAATGAGGAATGGAATCCGAATGCTGAGAACTAATTTCTTGCAGAGGACTGAAATACTGGGGCTGAACCACATTAATTAATTAAATAGTCCTATAAACATCTATGCCCTTGCAGCTACAGACAATAGTGTTATTTTAAGAAACACGATCATGTGCTTCGTCAAATATCACTCAGGTCAGTATTATTTAGTTTTTGCATAATCATAAAACAAGCACCACTTTAAAGTCTGCTTGTGAATCTCACATTTCATTCTTTTTTCTTTTTTTTTTGAGTATGAAAAAAATAGTTTCCTGCCTCAAATAATTTGTTATTGGAAGAACAAAGCAATGTTTCTTTGCGCAAAACTCTTCTTGTTTCAAAACTGAGCTAGGGGAAAGTATTTTCCAGCTTTTGCAGTTTATTTGATTTTGAACACTTTTGGTTATGTAAGTTTTAATAAGTAGCTTTGGTGTACCCCTAAAGGCACACCCCACACACTTATGTTGTGTGACCTAGGGTCACAAGTAATGGCTGCAAGCTAATTGATTGAGAAAGGCTTGTCTGACTGGGCCCCTTTGAGTCCTCCCTTTACATTCCTAAATTTCTGTAAAGGAGGCACTGGCAGCTTAGCCTGGTGAGAGGAGGGGTTGGGGGAAAGGGAGGAAGTTTCTCAGTTTCTGATTATGCGCAGAGTTTCCTTGTACTGAGCTTATGTTCTCCACCCACTACTTAGTAAGAACTCCTTAACAACTTAAAGCTTTATCCCTGTGAGTACCAGAAAAGTGATCTGAGTATTTATTGAGCAGGGAGAACAAACTGCTTGCTCCAGGCAGGGAGAAGGCTTATGGAAATGATATTAGACCTTCAGCAAAGTGCACAGCTGCATCATACAGAAGCTGAGACTCAAACTGACAGGCAAATAAGCCAGATCACGGAAGGGGCCTCTGTGTGGCAGCTCTGAGCTACCAAGTGTTGGACAACTAGGCAAAAAGTGCAATGGAACAGGGCAGAAAATAACACACTAACTTCAGGCAACTGTTGCTTATTCATGGTGAGTGTGGATTTGAAATGTTGTTTGAAATGTAGCTATTTTTGTTGTTTCTAAAAACCCTTCCATTTTACCACAGCGATCCTTTTGCAGAGCTCATTGTGTTCCAGATTATTTGTCCGGATGTGCACTTCAGCTCTGAACGATACAGAAATGCACAGGGATAGCCCTTTCCTTGCTGCTCTCTCTCTTGTGCTTTTCTTGCTTCAGGAGACAGGTTCTGTTGCTAAAAGCACACTGCATGCCTTCTGATTTTGGACAGAAATAGTTTTGCAGCCAGCACTCGGTGTGCAGCTGCATGGAGGTGAAGAAGTGAACATAATTTCTGTGCAGTTTTCTGCAGTTTGAGCTTTGTGGCACCTCTCTCCATTGCTCCTTATTTCGCTGCCTTATCTTGAGAATGTATGGCACGGTCACTATGAAAAGAGCTTTGTGTTTGAATTCCTGGTGAGTCGAAGGGTCAGGGCCTATGAGTTATCTGCCTGCCAGCAAGACTCATTGCTGTGTCCCTTTATTTTTCAAGCTGAAATAGAAAAAACATGTGTCCTCATCCCTTTTTTATAAACGTATTTTGAATTCAGGTTTTACATGCTGTTTGTGTGTGCTTTGTTCTTTTGACAAACTCGGGGTTTGGGAGAAAGCCAGTTTTATTCTATCCATATTTGTTTTATTTATTCAAGCTATACTGCAGCTTTTCTGAATTCCTTTGTTGTGATGCACATAATTTTTCCTTAAAACAGTATTCTGAGATTCTGATTTCTGCCAAGAGAAAAACAATTTATACTCTGATACATATTTCCAAAAATACTGGTGAGGTATCTAAATTTTAGGTAAGTTGCACAATTATACAGAAGATAAGGTTTTTACAACATTTGACTCGATTAAGGGGGAAACACAACACTTTTGAAGAAGTTCTTGAACAGATTGTATTAGATACAGTGCTCATCTAGTGTAATGGTAATAAATATGATCTGAGGTATAATGTTATTTCAGTTACTGATTTTGAAAAAGCTGCTTCATTAGCACAGCAACAGAATTAAACATTGCATGTTGACAGTAATGTTAGAAATATGTGTGTGGAAAGTGCTGAGTGGATGAAATTTAGAGTAATAAATCATTGAGGCATGTCAAAGTTACTCTGTGTGTAAGGTTTTAAGATGTCTGTAATTTAGAGGAGAAGTGAGTCTGTTTTTCCTCCAGCAGGTGTGATTCTGTACAAAATTATTTTCATCACATAATTCACTAAATAAATAGTCTTCTTAAAAAAAAAAAAGCCAAACTAAAAAGATGTAAGAAAAAACTGTGTAGCAGTTATTTGGAACTAAATGGAAAATGCTCACTTGATAGAATAATTCTTAATGTAAGAAGTTGATTAGATGAACTCTGCAAAGAGGGTATGTTACTACTTGTTTCATGATCTGTCTTGCTGTTTTTATGCCCATCCAACAATTAGCAGAATTCTTGATGCTTGTTTAAAAAAATAAGATGAGGTTTCAGTTCTGAGTTGATCTGACATTACGGTCCCTTTCAGGTGCAGAAGTTTATGTTGTTCACCTATTGTGTCCTTTTGTATTTGCCAGTCTGAGCTCTTGAGTTTACCCACCAGTTTTGAAAATGGTTTTAAATAGAAGGGGGGCAGGGGGGATTGTGCCAGAGAAATGCTAAGAAATAGAAATTTGAATGCAATGCTGCAATGTTAGATGATCTAAGTGGACCTCATACTTTTTTTGTTCTTATTGTGAATTGAATTTCTGTATATTTTGATTGGGCTAAACATTACTTTCCACAAGAAAATCCTTGACTGTGTTCTTAGTTCCATTAAGGGTGTTCTTTTCTTTCAATAGTTTCAGGTCTTGCTTTGAGGCAAAGCAATACATTGTTTCCAGAACATAAATACAATTTTTTTCTGGTATACCTGCTGAAGTGCTCTCCACACCTTTAAAAACTGAAAATAAAAGTACCTTTGAGGAGGTGGTCTCCTGCCAGCTTTGGAGGATTCACCCACCTCCTGGTGGTCACRAGGCTCTCGGGAGCAGGGAATGGTRGGCGCTCACACGCYGCCTCCTCCCCAGGCACACGAGCAGGGGATCAATCCTCTCTGTGCTCTAGGGTTTCCACTGGCAAAATAATGCACCACTGGTGTTGTGACACCAGGCTAGAGGATTATGAAACATTTCTTCATGCTCTGATGGTCAGCCTGATGAAGGGGAAAAGGTTTAATGAGGAGGAGAAGAATTTGCTGAGGATTTTATGCCCATCTCTATTATTAAAAGRAGAATATCTGCTCACAGTAGTTATGTTCTGTTATTCAAGGAAACCCAGCAMTAATGATGATTAAACGGGGTGTTCTCCCTGACTGTCTGAGGAYTGACACAACTTTATGTGACTGGCAGGAAGCTTAAACATCAATAGTGTGTCTCCAAATACTACTATTCTATCACAGAAAGTCAAAGAATCAGGAGCTTGGACTAAAATAATTTTACCATATTTTTTAGTGCTCTCTGACACCAGTTAGAAACAAACAAAAGAAATGTTTTGAAAAGGCTAAAGTTTGAATGGTTTTTGTCCAACATCTTTAAATTTTTTTCAGGGAGTAACTAGATTTGGTTTGTGAATTATATAGGAAGGGATTTTGGAGGTTCACATTTAGGTTTGTTCTGTTGCTGTGTATGGAAGAAAGAAAACCTTTGTTTAYTGGATCTGTTTCTTTTATTGACATCTGAATATTAACAGAAACAGGTCTGCATGACACCTATGGATATCTTTAGAGTCAAATGAGAAACCATGGATATTCAAGACTAACAGCTGTTTTTTCTTTCAAAGAGAGGAACTGGTTTGTGCTGTCATGAGAAGGTGATGTCCATAACAACAAATTGGAAGGAAAATTGACAGGTATAAGAGAATTGTAGCATTCATGGAGTCAGTGAATGATAGTGTTGTTAAGATGAATTTAAAAGAAAAAAACAAACTCCATGTTATATCCTAGCAATTTTGTAAGATTTTTTTTTCAAGAATTTTTAAAAACAGGGACAAAAAATTCTTTCATATTCACAGCTACAACTCATGATCACATGGAATGTGATCTTTGGAATACCCAAATTAACTTTCAGTTCACCAACAYATKCATACCATCAGCAGAAGACTCTCCCAGAAGGTGATGATAAAGGTGAAAGAACAGATAAAAGGAGAAACATTTGGTCCATGAAGTGATTAAAGTGATTATAATATGTGGGTTTAAACAGATGATCACAGAGAAGAAGCAGAAGTGAGGATAGGAACAGTAATAGAGGCAGAACTTAAAAGCAAACCAGATGAAATCTAAAAGTAGGAGCATGGCATGAGAGGGGAARGCCACCTTATCTCAAATGATCTGTCAGTCACTGAGATGAGCCTTGGGAATTGTGCTGTCTTTCTCTGGATTTGTTCAGAAGCATTTCCACTGCTGGCAGTCAGTTTTATACCTGAAGTTATAAATTCACCCGAAAAAGTAGGCCATTCCTTCCAAAATTATGATCACAGCACTTCAGAGAGGGGGATGTGAGATGGAGCCTCTCTTTTCCACCTAACATCCTCTCATTTATTTATCCTCTTCTATACTTCCCTCTGTCTAGCAGTGAAGGTAGAGGTGAGGATGGAAGATTACAACTGTTGTGACTGTTTTTTGAGCACAGGTTAAATTTGTTTTTTCAACTCCAACAAGATCCCTGTAACTTTTTTTTTTAAATGCTTGTGGTCTGGAAGGACTTTTGGCAATTCTGGTTCTTGGGTTTGGGGGAGATGGGTGAGAAATGGGTTCCATGGACCATAAATTTCCTGTGAAAGACCTGCACACCCTGCAATTGATTCAGTTTTGAACAGTGCATATTTAATAGTTTTAAATSATAAAGGAAAAGATAAATTAAAGAGAAGGCCCTACCCTGAAGTACATCTCCCATTGTTGTTGGGAATTTTCATTATTTCTGAAAAGCAGCACCAGATGAAGACATCCCTCTAAGAAGAGTCCTTTGTGGCAGACTGGCTGAAGGTATCCCAGTGCACTTTCACTTCTTCTTCTCCCACTGCTCTGCTCCCCAAAAATGTTTAGGTTGTAATGGCCAGGCTGGTGGATGTGCCTTYAAAGTACCTTTCCTAAAGTTTGACTTTGCAATCCCCCTGGATTGAGGATCAATGTATTCTGAAAATACTGCCTCTGGTTTTGGTCTGTGTTTCATAAGTTGCTCGTGATTGTGGCCTGGTTGTCACTGAGCATCTGTTATTTCAGCCTGTGTATAATAAATTCCTGAAATAAAAATCTGTGCCCTTAGTAGGGGAGAGTAAATTATAACATATAAACAATGAAAATGAAGGCAAGAGGAATTGGCACAGAACTTYATTCCAAAAACATACAAAATGGTTTTTGTGACACAATCAGGTTGGAAATACCATTGAATTGTATGGAAATCAGAGTGCACTCTCTATGAGCCCCATAAAACTTCTTTCCAGCTCTGGATGAAAAACTACAAGGAAGGTTTTTTCCAGAAGTACCCAGTGTCGGTCCAGCTACCCTTCCACTGACATCAATGAGAATTACATCAATATCAGTCAAAAACTGTAAAAATTGATGGTTCTTGCTTAAGAGAAAGTAGAATTCTTCAAATTCTTTTCTTTGTGGTTTGTTTTTCCTCTTCATTTATAATCTACTGCCAGCATCTGGAAGGAAACCAAGAAATTTATCAGATATGGTAACTTAATCATGTTTTAAATTATATCAAACCATTTGCTTTCTTTCACTTTGCTCTTTTAACTGTATTTTTTGGCCTGAAGTTTTCCATTGTGTAGTCCCAAACCACAGGTGATTCTTTTGTTTGTTTGGGTTTTTTTTTTATTTTTTTCCTTGTTAAAGGAAGTATGTTGAAATTATTTTAAGCTGCAGAAGTAGGAATGCATTATATTTTTCCTTTTAAAAATGAAGTAAASAAAACCAACTCAACCAAAGTCTTTGAAAAACAACCTTTGGGACAATG